CCTGGCTTCGTCTTTCTCCTGACGGCGTGGACAGTGCCATCAGGTCTCGCTCTGGGGCCGGCACAGTCACTCTTCAGACTTGTACTCCCGGCTCTGGTGCATCTTGGAAAGCACGCGCTCATAGAACAGCAGGTAGGCGCTGGAGGACAGGACCTCCTGCAGGCTGGCCTTGCGGACGGTGTCGTCGGAGATCCACAGCCACTGGTTGCTGGTTGAGAGGGGGTTCTTGGCCGAAGGTGGGGACCGTCGGTAAGTCACGAAGTGTCCGGAGTGCATGTCTCCATGGTGGACGACAACTGCCATCAGCCGGAAGAGGTACGTGGAGGAGCTGACCGGTAGGAACAAATGCCAGTGGTTTACAAAAGCAAAAAGTAAAACAATCCTAGATATTCAACGACAGGGGGCTGATACAACGGTACATCCGTACAAGTGAATGCTACACAACCATTAAAATACAGACCTATATTTACTGGTACGATGCCCATTCTATGAGCGTCTGTATAAGTGTGCGCACACACATTACAGAGTGGAAGACATTAAGGATTTAACTGGTGATCTAGGTGGTATCCCAAGATATTAAAAATTTTCTGCTTTATACTTTTTCTACATACATTCATACATATGCACACATACACATAACATATATTTAAATTTTATAATTCTTATATTTATAGTGACTTCCATTTTGGACAGAAATAAACAGGAATGCATAATAATGAAGTTCCACCTCTAAATGAAAGACAGCCATCTCCACACTCACTCACTTCATGAAGAGCTAATTTTGGAAACCCAGAGAAACGGCAGCCTCCACGGAATGAAGGCTGCCTCTGAAGAGCGGCTCACCTGTAGTCCGGAACCACCGGGAGGGGGAAGGGCATTGGGGCTGGCAGGGTGGGCAACAAAGATGGGGAGCAGGCACCATTCATAAAAATTTGGGTTTTGGGGCCCCCTGGCTGATTCAGAACTGCAAGAGAAAAAGGCCCGAGGCAGTTAAAATTAGCAACGGGTGTGGATAAGCAAAACATGGTTTTGATTACTGATTACGCTGAAATGGAACTACCCAATAATGCTACAAAGCAAATATAAATATATATAATTTTTAAATATTTTATTGATTTTTTACAGAGAGGAAGGGAAAGGGATAGAGAGTTAGAAACATTGATCAGCTGCCTCCTGCACTCCCCCTACTGGGGATGTGCCCGCAACCAAGGTACATGCCCTTGACCGGAATCGAACCTGGGACCCTTCAGTCCGTAGGCTGCAGGCCGATGCTCTATCCACTGAGCCTAAATATTTCTTTTTGTTACTGTAAAGTTTCCTGCCTTTTTGTCCCTGTTTTAATCACCAACAGGAAAAGCACATGGAGCTCCGGGTCCACTGTTCACTTTGGTGGTTTTGTAAATCGCTGTCTGCTTAAGGGCCCGGGTCAGAATTAAGCAGTAGCTACGTTACTGGCATTTTGACCTAAACCTGCAGTTTCTCAACCTGGACATGATCGACATTTGGGATGGATAATTCTTTGTTGTGGGGCTGCCCTGTGCATTGCAGGATATCTAACATCATCTCTGGCCTCTACCTACTACATTCCTGTGACACCCCTCTCGGCCAGAATGTCACCAGCCACGGCCCAATGTCCTCTGGGAGGCAAAATTCCTTGTTTCGAGCCACTGACCTAAACCTTCTCTCTCCTTTCATTGTCAGCTTCTAAGGAATACCAACATGTAACAGTGTTCACACATGCTCATGGGAGTAGGTACAATCATTAAGGAGATATTTACATCTCGTTTCCTCTCAAGTGTCACATGGGAGGGGCTTTAGTACAAGGAGTTCACTGTTGGCCTCTTTAACCATGGCCACCACGGGGTGACCGTGAGCAGACCTGCACTCCCACCGGGGAAGACGGTCGGGACTTGAGTGGGAGCATGAGGTGGTGGTTCAGGCTTGGAGCGCTTAACATCGGTGGGCTTCCTCATCTCTAACTCTAAAGCTCTCTACAGATGATATCAGATGCATTTATAACACTGCCCAACACTGCCTTCTAGTGCCCGTTCCCCCGCTGTTGGCCTGGGGACCAATCATTTCACCTCTTGACGCCTTGATTTTCTCCTTGGTGAGACTGAGGGTAATAATAGTGACCTGCTTCACTGGGACCCCATTCAACGAGGGACCTCAAGTGAGGCCAGTAATGGAATTAGATAATAAATAAGTCATTCAGTAGAGGAGAAGCATCAACCCCCGTGAGATGTTCAGTGATCTCTACCCAGGACATTTCTTCCCCACACTTTCTGTATAATTGAGATGACTGTGCTAAGGGGGGAAATAGAAATTCACTGGGCCTGGCTGGTGTGGCTCAGTTGGTTGGGCATCGTCCCCTGCACCGAAAGACCACAGGTTCCACTCTCAGTCAGGGCACATGTCCAGGCTGCGGGCTTGATCCCCAGTGGGGGTCCAGTAGGGACAGGGTAGGGGGTAACCGATCAATGTTTCTCACATCAGTGTTTCTTTCCCTCTCTAAAAAAATAAATAATCAATAAAAACATTTAAAAAAGAAAAAATAAAAAATAAAAAGAAGAGCCTGGCTGGCATGGCTCAGTGGTTGAGTGTTGACCTATGAACCAGAAGGTCACGGTTCAATTCCCAGTCGGGGCACATGCCCAGGTTAGGGGCTCAATCAACAGTGTGGAGGCAGCCAATCAATGATTCCCTCTCATCATTGATGTTTCTATCATTCTCTCCCTCTCCCTTCCTCTTTGAAATCAATAAAAATATATTTAAGAAAATTTTTTTTAAAAATTCACTGGAATGATATGTGAACCAATTATTGCTTAGTCAAAAGACCAGACAGAAATCTTAAGCTTTTCTTCCTATATTTTTTCAAACGTGACAGTTTTTAAAACTATACATCTCGCCCTAGCTGCTTTGGCTTAATGGATAGAGCATGGGCCTGTGGACTGCGGGGGCCCAGGTTCGATTCTGGTCAAGGGCACATGCCCGGGCTGCGGTCTCGATCCCCAGTGTGGGTCATGCAGGAGGCAGCCGATCAATGATTCTTTTTCATCATTGATGTTTCTATCTCTCTCTCCCTCTCCCTTCCTCTCTATAAATCAATAAAAACAAACAAACAAAACTATACATCTCATTACTATATCATTTTAACCTCTTTTAAGAAATCTTACCCCTCCGGCCCCAATCCTGCTGTTTTCAAGAATTTCAGCAACCATTGGACAAGCCTTCAAGGCAGAAAAGCCCCAGAAGCTAGTGATACCAAACTCCTCTTCTCTGTGCTGCAGGCTCCCGCTGCCTTAGCTCCTCGGGCACGTACCTGATTTGGGGGCTGTCGGCCCGTCCTGCAGTTCCAGCGCAGGCCTTGCTTTCTCCTTCAGTTTAGGACTGTGTTGACCAGGTTTATGTCCAAGAAGGCGGTACTTGTAGATGTCCATCATCAGGAACTCGTTGAACTGCACATGCTCGTGCCGCTTCAGGGGCGTGCCGTGGCTGGACCAGCTCAGCCGCTGCAGGTGGATGCACAGACACTGAGGGAGCTGCAGGTGGGAGAAACCGGAAGTGCTGAGTGTCGGGAGCAGGCAGCCAAGAGGCCTCGAAAGCAGAGCCGACAAGGTGCGTGGTGTGGGCTCACCTTCCCTAGTTTTAACTGCTTAACGAAAGTGGTCCTCTGGTGTTCCACCTTCTCCCCATTCAACGTCCCTTTGGCTTCAATCTGGAATAAAAGAAACAACATCCATCTGCTGAAATTCTTGAAAGGACATCTCTGGAGAGCTGCCCATCAGGTTGGTGTTTATACCTGCACTCAACTGGCACTTGACTACTACCTGCTGAACTGAACTCAGCTGCCCAATTGTTTGTGGGTTTTCCGTGTTTTATTTCTTAAGTACCAGCGACAGTGGAGGCAGGAGAAATAAAAGAAGCTCTGACACTGACATTTAATCTATTCTGTTGTGTCTTTAAAACTTCTGTTCCACACAGTCCCTCTTAATTCAGTTGCTGAGGGAGTTAGGCAGGTAGCATAGGTAAGGCGGGTGTGAGACAAGTGGGAATGGAGGGGATGGTAGCGAATCGGAGAGGGCATGTCCAATCTCAAAGCATGGCATCAAATTTCTTCTTTAAATGTTTGGTGGATAAAACAGAACTCATCAGGGAAAGAGATTTGCTCCATGGGCTGCCAGGTGCCCAACCTTAGGTGGAAAGGGCAGTGGCTGAAAGGATCCTCGGCGAATAGTCAGAAGAGCTCAGGCCAATGGTGTGAGAGGCGCTCTACCGGGCACACAGGCTGCGGGGGAGATGGCATTCGGGGCTGAGGGCCTACCTTTGTGCAGTTGTCACACACAACATCCCGCACGGATTCTGATGAGATGAAGTGGTGGAGGCAGTGGTCCAGGGTCAGTGGATGACCCTACAGCACGAGAAGAAAACGCTTTATCACAATTCAAAGGGGAGCTACTGACACGGTGAGCAGATGGCACCACGAATCCCAGAGCTTTCTTTTTGCTCATGGAGGCAAAAAAGCATCACAGACACAACTGGCTGCCTTCTGAACAAACCTGGAGCTCAAGCACCCTAGACTGGCTACTGCGACGGAGTCAGGGTATGAGGACATAACGCTGCAGACAATTACGGACTCCCACACTCTTTTTAGATACTTTTGAATATGAGATTATTACGTGTGTGCATGTATATTAAAAAGCCAAAATTTCTGCAGCAAGAGACAAACCGCCCACTCTTCTCCCCCCAAATCGGGCCATGGTACTACACATTACAACTAAATGGGTTCAATCAACCACAGGTCTGAGTAACACGTGGCACCTGAGCTACACAAAATGCCTCAAAGCCCTTTCAGACTGCAATGTCTCTGAAACAGACCCCAAATGAACCACAGGTCAGTACATACCCAGGTGGCAGCTGGAATACTTAGTGAAAGGCTATCGAAGGTATCGAATCGAACAGGACTCTGAAACAAATATTGCAGAAAATCCAGACAGGACTCAAGTTCAATTCAAAACTTTATAGATGGGAAAATACATGCTTATTAAAGTTTAATATTTAGAGGTTCAACACTAACATAGTGAAACATAATGTACTTACCTAGAAGCACACTCTACTGAAAACAACCTTGTAAACATGAAATACAATAATACTAATCAGCTTGGAAAATCTAAGATGACATGGCTGACCCAGAAATTTTGGGATTTTATCCTAAGGAAATAACCATGGACACAACTACAAAGATGCTCAGCTCAGCATTATCTATAACAGCAAAATGTGAATCGTTGGAATTTCTACAGAATGATTAAAAAATTCAATCATGTCCATGGAGTGGAGTGGAATACTTTATTAAAAATAGAGTAGTATAAGAATGTGTGATTATGTGGAAAGATGTGTGTTTTATTATTAATTGCTAAAATAGGGTAAGAGTTCCTGCATTTGGTGATGGCAGAGTAGCTTGATTAGACGAACTCTCCTTGAGATAACAATTGTAGAATCTGGACCCAAACAAAACAAAACTATGTGAATGACTGGAGAGCTACCAAAAGCAGGCAGAAATTGAAGAGAAGTCATGTCTTGGAAAAATAGGAGCTCCATGGGTGAGATTTGCATTGTGTGGCTTTTTGTCTGAAGGTCTCCCTAAAACAATGTACAAATTTGGTGAAAAACATAGATGCATAGATTCAAGATATTCAGCAAACTCTAAACAAATACAAAGAAAACTATGTTTATGTACTGAATGGGCAAACTACTGAAACCCCCAAAATAAAGAGGAAATCTTATAAGCAGCCAGAGAAAAAGTGACACTTTCTATACAAAGGGATGA